GACACACTACTGCAAAGACTCCCATTTTGTGCTTCGCACATGGGAGTAAAAAAAAACACACAAGGCAAGAAACATTAGAAATTACTTCAGTAATTTTATTTCATTTGAACATGGGTTGAATAAATAATTTAACGTCTAAAAAATAACTGAATTATTAATAAGTACATGAACTAAAAAGTCAACTAACAATTTCTAGAATTAAATAAAAATCTACCGTTTGGAATTAAACAGAAATACAACATGACATAATGGAGTGGATGTTTTAATTTACAGGTGCAATCATCCTAGAAATACATCTTACAAATGAAAATCGGCAGACAGCCAAGCTGAGCTGACCTTATTTAATTTATTAAAACTACTATTTTTTCATATAAATGTTGGCATTTTTAATGAGACAAGAACAATCTTGCAATGGTTATAAAAAGAACCATGTCTGTGTATTGATTCCTTGTTATCTACCCTAAACCATGGAAGGTTTTAAAAATTTGCTATAAAATGCCTGTAAATCTAGAATTTTGATTTCCAAACACTGGTATTTGTAAGATAGATTCATCGTGTTACATAGTACAGATTCTTCATCCTCCAGTGTTGGTTTTTTTTAATTATTTTTTTTTTTTGCTCAGAAAGCAATTATATTACATGCAATTTGTAGTTAAACTGATTTCTTGAAAGTGTCCTGTCTGATCATAAAAACACTAATGAAATACACTTAAAATCTAAAAGCCTCTCTACGTTCTATCTACATTTTTATAAGCCAGACTATGACTGGCGTAGCATCAACCATAGAAATTACTATTTCACAATAGTTTTTTGGGTTAAAAAATTAACAAAATTGGAATCATTGCCCTTTCTATTAAAAGTAATTAATATTATAAATAAACACATAGTTTTTCATAATTTACATAGTAAACACTGTACAATACGGTCACTGAATGGAGGGAATGATCACAACTAATAATAACAAAAAATATTTGCACTTCCCACTATACAATTTTTTTTTTCTTTTTTAAGAGAATATTTGCAAAAAAGAAAGCTTTACATCCCGCTTTTGAAAAATGAAGCAAGACAAGATTGAATTCATCTCCCTTTGATTGCTCTGTATTTTCACAAAACTTTAAGTACAAAATAACAAATACGATGGCATTAAATATAGACAACAATTTTATGCAGTCATAAATAAATTAATAAAAAAAAAGGCATTTCAGGTATTCCCATTAGCAATATAACATAAAATGAATGAAGCGGTATATAAAACTGACGAGTGGATTTCAAAGTCACTATAATGTGCAAATGTTTGCTATCTAACCAAATGCAATTTCTGTTCTATGTACTGTACTTTGGAAGCCAAATGAATATAGGCATTCTCAATACGATTTTTTAAATATATTGCACAGTTCATGATTGGCTGCCAGAAATAATTGAACGGTACATGTGACAAAATCAACAGCAGTCGCTGTTACAATACACATTAGTAATTACATGCTAATACTTTACAAGTACTTCATCATTATTTATTTTGAGTGTGGACCTGTTAAAGACACAAAAGCTGCATCCAATTCTTCTAAATATAATATTGGCAAATCACCAGATGATATTAGGTCATATATTGCATGCCAAATGCAGACTAAAACAATTTATGCGGGTACAAAAATTAAGAATTATTCAGGGTGTATAAACTGAAAACAATAGAGCTATGACTCATTACTAGTGTGTGAATGTTCAGACATTATGTTATTTTGGCAACAAGTTTAAATATCGTTTGACTTAATACAAAATATAAGGGTACACCTCGTGGCAATTAATTTGCCAAAAGTTTTCCTGATGCAGGTATGGCCATTTTCAATACGTACATCATATACATATTTGGTTGTCAGCGCAATGTAGTCTGATCAGCGTATACTGAGAACACTGAAGGTGAATAATACTGTTCAGTCTAAAATATTTACATCATTCACAATTTACAATATAAAGTCGCTATTCTTTAAAACAATCAGCTGTATAATAAAAGGCCTCTGTTTAGTAGTTTGTACGCTGATTGTAAATTTACCACTTTATTAAAAATAACAGCTGCGATAATCACTTCAAATATAACAGCATATAATAATATGAATTTTAAAATTATTAGAAAAAAATTGTACCTGAATTAGAAACTACTTCACAAGATAGAAAAAAAAAATTATTTTAAAAATAAACAGATGCTGAGAAACACATGAATATCTAATATCACATGTTTCAAATCTGGGTTTAATTAGTCGCAGATTTCAAATTTGGATTTAATCAGTCACAGGTTTCCAATCTGGATTTAATTACTCACAGATTTCAAATTTGGATTTAATCAGTTACAGGTTTCCAATCTGGATTTAATTACTCACAGATTTGAAATCTGGGTTTAATTACTCACAGGTTTCAAATCTGGCTTTAATTACTCACAGGTTTCAAATCTGGGTTTAATTATTCACAGGTTTCAAATCTTGGTTTAATTAGTCACAGGTTTCAAATCTGGGTTTATTCAGGCATAGGTTTTAAATTTGGGTTTATTCTTTGGTTTAATTCAACAGATTTCACATGACAGAATGCTGGAAATATGCTTAGTACAGCTTTCTTGTTTTAGTATGCTTAGTATTGCTTTCTCATTTAGTATAAATTCAAAACTCTTGAGTAATGAATCTACCAACAACTAGCGTAGATAATCCACCAACTAATGGTCACACAGACTGTGTAATAAAGACAACATAACGATGAATATAAGGGGTGTGTGTTTTTTCCCTGAATTCAAAATTACAGACCAGCACAGTGACCATAAGGAGTAATGTTTTTGTCACCATGGCAACTGCAGATATTGACTCAGTATGTTTACTAAATCAGGGCAATATTAGAACAAATTAACACCTTCTTCTACATACTCTATTGCACTTTAAATTTTTTACTATTAAATAACCCTTTACAATAAGCTGCACTCCCTAGTAATGCACCACTGAATAATAACATGTTATCGTTTTTGAGAAATTTGCTACTATTGTAAATACCGAAATACCACGCGTCATACAATAAATGTAATTTTCATTGCTCTCACCATCAATGTCATGGTACTGTGCTGCCACTAGAGGGCGCAAATTACAGGAAAGGTCTGTTGCTACTGATATTTACAATTCTCAAAATCTTGTCTTTAAAAAATTGCTTATGTTAAGACTAATTGTTCCATATATTGAATGACTGAATATGGCGTCTAATGTATATTTGGTTCTGATTCACAGAAGACATGGGAAAAAAAACAAGACCCT